AGGAGTAAATACAATAGTTCATTTTTAATATTTCAGGTTTCTATGTCCAGCTCTACATGCAAATCCAGATGAATAGAAAGGAGATCTGGCCTGAAAAAGATAGTAACTGAAGCCACATAAATATAATGAGAAAAAATAGAATTAAAAACACTGAAGAAGAAATCCTGAAAACATTCTGATTGAAGGATCAGACAGAGAAATACTGGCTATAAAGTCTCGCAGGACTTAGGCCAGAAAGATAAGGAAAAGAGTCCAGGTGAGGGTGGTCCCAAAAGTTCAGAAAAGAGAGTTCAATAGTAGAGTGATCAAAATGTCAGTGCTGCTGAGATTTGCAAAGGTTGTTGTCTAAAACTTGTCTTATTCATCTTTGTTAGCATGTAGGAAAATGTGTAGCACACTGTCAGAATTCAGTAAACATAAAGTTCTGTGTTGTGGACATTCCAATACCTGCAAATTTTACTCCAACATTGTTTGAATTATTAAAAATACAAAAAGGACAGGAAAGGGAAGAGGAGAGGAGGGGGAGGGGAGGGGAAGAGGGAGGGGGAGGGGAGGGGAAGAGGGAGGGGGAGGGGAGGACAAGGGCAGGGGTGGGGAGGGGAAGGGGTGAGGAGAGGGGAAGAAAGGGGAGGGGAGGGGAGGGGAAGGAGAGGGGGAAGGAAGGATAGGAGAAGGGAAGGAGAGGAGGTGGGGAAAGGGGGAAGGGTAGGAGAGGGGTAGGAGGGGGGAGGGGAAGGGGAAGGGAGGAGAGGGGAAGGAGAGGGGGAGGGAAGGGTAGGATGGGAGAGGGGAGGGGGAAGAAGGGGAGGGAGGGGAGGAGAAGGGGAGGGAGAGGAAAGGGGCAGGGGAAGGGGAGGAGAGGGAGAGGGGAAGGGACAAGAAGGGAAGGAGAGGGGAGAGAGGGGAAGGAGGGAAGGGAGGGGAGGAAAGGAAGGGAGGGGAGGGGAAGGGAGGAGAGGGGAGGGGAGGATCTATTTCACCCCAAAGGCCTTATTCAGTCCCCATGTATCCTGTCCCTGGGATTCTGCTCCCACTTGGAAATTCAGGACTTCAGCTCCTTGAGAACTTCATCCCTTTCCCATCCACACCACCTCAAGCATCTCTAAAATCTAGGATTTGTCTCACAGGTGTTCATGATAGGGTGCTGCCATTTTCCAGTTATCTGTGACTGGAGGGTTTAGTTCCCCATTCTGCCACTTCAAGAGGCACCAAGATCTCCTGCTGAATGCTGTTAATACCCACCTATCACAGGTGCTGGTTCCTCACCAAGTGCATCAACAAGTTTTTTTCTTCCACTAGACATGCTGCTGAAGATCTCTGCCAAGCACCATGACTAAACAGCCAGAGCCCTCGAAGTGCCACAATGTCACAGTAATCTATGGAGAAATGGGCCCTCTCCTTTCACCTCCGTTAGAGGTGTCCCAAGCAGTGTTGCTCCTGCTTCCATTGTCTTATAGACTTGAGTGGGAGAGCTCTTTCCATTTCTAATATTTTGGTTTTTTTACTTATAGATCTCTTTCTCACTCTAGGACTCAGGCATAGATTGTTGCTATAACTACCTTGTCATATTTGTTGATGCATTTCATAAGTGGTTTAGTGCTTGGTGTTAAAGAGTACTTCACTAAAAAGTTAAATCATGTAAATGGACTAGGGAGAACTGAAATCGGCCATAAATTGTTGAAATCAATCCAGAAGTCATTTTGCAAAAGGTTTCATGGGTACACTGCCGAAGACCAAAGCAGTTCCCATTTTTAGTTTTTTACTCTACTGTCTCATCATTACCATAACTCAGCTACTTTCACTGTACTGATAACCTCTAGGCATCTTTCTACTTTGTTCCAAATATCAGGCTACAAATTCTCTTCCCATATCTCCAGGTCAAATTCCTAAGGAAGTAACTGATTGGTCAAACTAATTACCACTGTTCTGGAATCGACATTTGTGCCATCTCATGTCATGGACTACTGATCTACTTTTGGGTCAGCAATAGCCTCCAGGTAGTATCATATGGTACCAACAAGAAATATATGCAGAAGAAACCTGCTGTAAGAGGTTTGTAGGAGCGGCAGGCAGGCATTCTCAGGCAAGATCGTCCCACACTAGGAAATAAGAATTTCTGTACCCAGTAACCTTCAGCAGAGACAATGAACTGAGCACGTGGTAAATTCTCAAACATTATTTTTAGCTCCCTTACTTAAAAAATAAGTCTCACTTCCTTCATATCACATTTAAGTCCATTTAAGATAAACCTCAATTTACCTTTCCAGTTTTATTGATTATTTTTTCTTGAATTGTCTATATAGCTCACATTTGTTAAGTACTAACAATATGTCAAGGCCGGGCGTGGTGGCTCAAGCCTGTAATCCTAGCACTTTGGGAGGCCGAGGCGGGTGGATCACGAGGTCGAGAGATCGAGACCATCCTGGTCAACATGGTGAAACCCCGTCTCTACTAAAAATACAAAAAATTAGCTGGGCATGGTGGCTCGTGCCTGTAATCCCAGCTACTCAGGAGGCTGAGGCAGGAGAATTGCCTGAGCCCAGGAGGCGGAGGTTGCAGTGAGCCGAGATCGCGCCATTGCACTCCAGCCTGGGTAACAAGAGCGAAACTCCGTCTCAAAAAAAAAAAAAAAAAACCAATATGTCTGGTACTTTTCTAAGATTGTTACATGGATTTAGCCATTTAATCCTCAACAACACAAAGTACTATTATTCTACCAACAAGAAAACTGAGCCTCAGAGAGGTTACATGCACAAGGACATGTATTAATAGTTAGTAAATGATTGAACAGAAATTTGAACTTAGGTAAATGGCTTCAAAGTCCAAGATCTTAATCACTAAGCCATACTGCTTCTCAAAAATCAACCAATATTACTAGCATAATAATAATAGGTATTATGAGTGATTATTGTGTGGTGTCAGTGTTCAGAACACCACACCGCAAAGTCTGGTCCTTTGACATGCTGAGTACTTTAAACTGAAGGAGACTGGGAAGGTCTCAGAACGAAGGTCTCTCTGAACTTATTTCTGTCTTCCTCTCTTCCTTTCCCTGATCTCCCCAAAACTGGGTCTTAGAACTTAGAATTCCTCTCCCCACATCAAGCCATAAAACCTAGTAAGGAGCCGGGTGTGGTGGCTCACACCTGTAATCCCAGCTCTTTGGGAGGCCGAGGTGGGTGGATTATTTGAGGTCAGGAGTTCGAGAAGAGCCTACTCGACCTGGTGAAACCCTATCTCTACTAAAAATACAAAACTCAGCCAGGCCTGGTGGTGGGCATCTGTAATCCCAGCTACTCAGGAGACTGAGGCAGGAGAATCACTTGTACCCAGGAGGTGGAGGTTGTGTGAGCCAAGATGCACCACAGCACTCCAGCCTACAAGTCAGAGAGAGACTGTCTCACAGAAAAAAAAAAAAAAATCTTGTAAGGTTACTTTCTGACCTTCCCTAAGTTTCTGTGTGAAGTATTGTCACAAAAAAAATTATCTGGCTGACCTCACTTGAAACTAGGTCATAAAACTTCATTCTAGAGAGTTCCTGCCCTATACTTGGAGGCCAAGAATTTGAATAAACTGGCCTTCCTAGGCTCTCCCCTCAGTTTACTACCATTAGATGATGCCCCTTTTGTCCAATCATGCTTCACCAAAACTATCTACTCCTTTCATGAGACTTACCATAAAGAGACCATTTCTCCTGGGTCTTTGTGTCTCCATTTCTGAAGACTCCTCTGTCACATAAAACTTTATTAAATAAATGTGTTTTATGCCCTTTCTCGTTAATTTTTATTACTTATTTTTGACATAAGGTCTCGCTTTGTCACCCAGACTGGAGTGCAGTGGCGCAAACAGGGCTCACTGAAGCCTCAACCTCCCAGGCTCAACCAAACTCGCCTCATCCCAAAATAGCTGGGACTACAGGCGCCCTTCACCACACTCGACTAATTTTCGTACTTTTTTGTAGATACAGGGTCTCACTATGTTACCCAGGCTGCTCTCAAACTCCTGGGCGCAAGCGATCCACCTGCCTTGGCCTCCCAAAATGTTGGGATTGCCGGCATGAGCCACCTGTGCCCGGCTTCTCTCTTTTTCATAGGAATATCAGCTGTGAACCTTGTGATGAGTGAGGACAAGATTATTTTTATTGCCCTTACTATGCCAAACTATGGACTAAGGGTTCTATTATACATACAGTACTCAAACTGGTGTTTTTACCCTGTTGCCATTATAAGTAAACATATGTATCACAATACATAGCCAGAAACGAAGCTATAACATTTCCACTAAATGCTACTACAGCGCACTCCACAGGATTTAAAAAATATATATATATTCTATCTTTATTATTCAGTTAAGTAGATTTTCTCATTTCTATTGTGATTTCTCCATCAGCCCTTGGAATACCTGGGGTATTGATCAGATTCCAGGCGTGGAGATACTTAATTGTCTTGTCACTCTAGTTTAATTCTATTGTGGTCAGAGAACACACGCTGAACGGGGTCTGTGTTTTGACCGCGCGGGGGCTTTCCTGATGGCTCAGGGTGTGCTCAGTGCCGGTGTATGTTCCACGTGCATCAAGGTTTTCTCTTTCCAACTATCCTGCTAAGTGCTGCCTTCAGCTCTGAAAACCTCAAAGGTCCCTTCTGACACTAAGTGGGTGTCATTACACGTATAAACTAAATGGTAATTACCTCGAACTTTTCTTCCTGTGAACTCTTTTCCTCTTGATTCTTCAAAATGCAGTAACTATGACTTCTAATAAAAATAAAAATATAAAAAATATAAAAAAATAAAAACAGAAAAACAGAAAAAGAAAAAAAATCTACTTTTATTCTCCTGTAGCTCTGTGCTTTCGGCTTTTCTCACAGGCAAACGAAGACCCCGGGCGCCGCCAAACCCCACCGCTAGAGACGCGCGGGCGCCCCGGCAGCCGCGAGAGCACGCTCTCTGCCTTCCCACAGGGGGCTGAGGGGCAGGGCCTCCGCGGCGCGCTGACGTCACAAGAGGCTGCGACGCCGCCGGGTCCGCCGCGGCGCTGACGGCCGAGGCCGGAGTGTGAGCGGAGCCCGGCCGTGGGCAGAGGCGGCGCGGTAGGAGCTCGCGCGGCGTCCGCGGGCTCCGGGGCGGGGGCTCCAGCGGCGAAGCCCCCTCCCCGGGGAGGCGGGGCCTGGGCGAGCTCCCGAGACTGGGAGCGGCGGCAGCCGGGAACGATGCATCAGAAGCTGCTGAAGAGCGCGCATTACATCGAGCTGGGCAGCTACCAGTACTGGCCGGTCCTGGTGCCCCGTGGCATCCGCCTGTACACCTACGAGCAGATCCCCGTGTCCCTCAAGGACAACCCGTACATCACCGACGGCTACCGGGCCTACCTGCCGTCCAGGCTGTGTATCAAAAGGTACGGTCTGGCCGCCTCCGCCTGGCGGTGCCCCCTTCTCTCACCTACACCCTTTTTGTCTGGTCCCCCTGCCGCTTTCACCGCCTTCCGACTTACCCATCATTTCCCCGCCACCCCATCCTTTTCATCCCTTTTTGCTGCCTCTTATCCCCCTTTATCTCCCCTTGCCTAGCCGGTGTATTTGATCCACGGAATAATCATGATAGAACAGTCATCATAACTATAACTTTCCTATGTCGCTTTGTTTACAAAGGGCTTTTACATCCTTTATTCGGTTTGTTCGGCTCATTGAGATATATGTTGGAATGAGGCTGAGCCATATTTGCCCAGTGTATATCTAAGCTTTGCTTTCTTTTTAGAGCAGCACTGTGGGAATTCAGTTGCTTTAGGCCAGATAAATGCCTGTATAATAGGAAACAAGTTAACATATACACCCGAGACTTACTCATTTAGCAAATACTTACGGAGCCCATGCTGAAAAGAAAGCAGTCATCGCCCTTGTTCTCATGAAGCTACTAAGGTGTAGCCTGGGTGACAGACATTAACGAGAGAATTGAACAATTACATAATAACCATTGTGGAAAAAATGCTGTGTAAGAAAACCACTGTGGTAAAGAGAGCTCATAACGGGCATGCAGCCTCCACTAGAGCACCACAGAAGCATCTCTAAGAAAGAAATTTATTTATCATTCTCAACCTTTAAAACCACAGTCCCTTGAAAACGTATGTTTAAAAAAACAAAACTGAAAAATAACTATTCTAGTTCTTGGAGTAACTCGGTCCAAACTCACTGTCTGTACTAAAATACAAGACCTCTGCTTTAGGAGAATTAAGATACAGATGCTGGTTAGCTCCAGGTCACTATAGTGGCAAACCCTAGTGCCAGAATGTGGGCTGTTGCATTGCTTAAGCAGCAACCACATGTCTCATTCTTGATTTTCCCAGCATTGTCTTTGCCTATCCTTCTTTCCTTTTGTCCTGCCATGAAAGTGTTCTGTGACTCATGGTCACAAGGTGACATCAATGCCCATCCCTACTTGGCTTGAATGGATGGCCCTTAGGATTCACAACTTGAAGCATGATTACCCTTTTCCTCCCCAATGCCTTCTGTGCATGAGTAATTATACAGCTGAGTTCTGCTGTGGATCTGGGGTTCCACAAGAATAGGGCAAGCAGTGAATTGCCTTAAATATTTTCTACCCACTAGCAGTGGTCCTCTGCATTCTGATGTTAGGGTCAGAATCTTATAGAGTGGAGAATGAAGTATAGAGCATTAGATCTTGAGCTGTTGAGTCAAAGACTTTAGCATCCAAATCTGCCACTTAGAGCTCTAGGACCTGGAGCAAAATGTAACCTCGCTGAGCCTCATTATACCTACATGTAAAAATGAAGATAGTCACAGTATCTGCTTCCAGAGGTAAAAAGGATTTAATGAGATTCTGTATGTAAAATGCTATACATGGCCTGGAACCTAATACGCCCTCAATAAATGGTGATTGTTGTCATCACCAATGATTTTGAAGCTGAACAGATGATGATAATGAAGATGATTACTGATTTTAAAACTGAACAGAATACGAAGATGTGGTGCTGTTAATTCCTGTTAACTTCAGTAGGGATAGCACCAGGTTTGAAAAACGGAAGGAGAGATCCAAAGCCAGTAAACAAGATATAGGGTTTTACTAGGGTGATTTGCAGACAGGTCCAGTGGCAGTGGGCTGGACAGGAGAACCTCTGCCACCTGAAGAAAGCATGCAATTTATATGGCATTTTTACTTAGCACCTTTCCCTCAACAACCTACACCTGGTAATCTTCATTTACAAAACAAAAGGCCTCCATCCCATGTACAGTCAGCATTTGAGATGGGACAGGGGCTCAGATGTTCTTCATAGATAAGGAATGGATCTAAGGGTTGGCCATGGTTGGAACTATAAACACACATTCAAGTATATTTTCCATATAAGGTCATTCTCAGGGTATGCTTAAGTTACATCTGTTAGGTGAGGCACCTAACTTTTCTTCCAGTAAGAGTAGATTCTTCACTGGAGATGTTCTTGCCTTCCCACCAACTTTATCTTTTCCTAGTTCAGCCTTTGCTCTCCTCTCTCCTTTTGGCTTTCAGGAGTGACCGGGACAGATTTTGGATGTAATCTGAGGAAGTTTTGTATGTCCTAGCAGTTTTGCCAATCCTCTGTTAGCTGCAAGGAACATAGTAAGGTTGTGCCTCTCAGTTCAGTTAGGTTATACTGGATGTCAGAAAATAAAAAGTTCTGAGGTAATAGGCAGAGCATAGTATTGATTGTCAAAACAGTCCTGTAGTTAGATGTTTCAAGCACATTTGTGTATCCCTTCCCCCACTTATAAGTTGTCTTTACATTTGATGCTTGTACATGATGAAGCCTGAAATTCATGATCCAAGATTCACTTTATTCTTGACGATCATTTGATAGTTTTGACACCTTGCTATGTACATCATGTATTTGGCCTTCACTGATTCGGAAATCCTTACTAGTAAGTGTTGACATATAACAAAATTTGTAGCAGACACTATGGTTCTCACTTTCATTTTTACATGAAATGAACTTATGAGAAGTAGGAAATTCCATTTTTTGTGCAAATGAGAAAGTGAGAACCATAGTGACTGCTACAAATTTAGAGTTATATGTGAGTGCTCACTAATAAGGATTTCTGAATCAGAGAAGGCCAAAATCCTAAATTTAGGCAAAAATACTATATTTTACAGACAAATGCAATTGTATTTTAATCTTTAGTCATGATGTCACTTTTCAGTAAATAATCAGATGAGTCCTATCCACATCTGGAGAACCATTTCACGGAAGTAAGAAAGGAGCTGCAAGAAACTTGCAGCAGCATATAATGTAGCTCCATTACTTTATAGATGAACAAACTGAAACCCAGAGAGGTTAAGTGACTTGTGTGTGGTAGAGACAATGAGCCTCTTGACTGGGGTTGGTCCACTCTCCAGCAACCTGTGCTGCCAAGACAAGTTAGCCAGGGCATTTTGAAAGAGGGCACATAGTACCCATATTAAAAGTAAAGTTCTGTTGTTTCTGAAAAGGAGAAACTTATGCCACCTAGAAACTAGATTGGTTTTAAAACATCCACAGCAAAGTTGTTCCACCATGCTTATCTTAAAGAACCTTTCCAGTGGATCAATATATATTTATTTTGCTTCTCTTAAGTCTGTTTACTTTTGCATTTGTATTTAATGAATTCTAAGAAAGTATTTCAAGTTCATGCCTAACCTTGCACTGACCAGGTTTTCAGATACATATTATTGATAGAATATGCTAGCCAATATCCAGACTTCCTCTACACATTCATTTCTGGAGACTTTTAGTCTATAGACTAAGCTGAGCAAGGCATTGTGAACAGTGGTGTCATAAAGATGAATGGTACTGACCATTAGTGGGAGTTGATAGGCTGGAAGATGAGATGGAATTTGCATGTAAATCTGTTAATACAGAGAAGGAAATGGTAAGTATGATAATAGAAGTGAGCACCCAAAAAACTGTGGTCCCGGGATTGGTAGAGATGTGGAAAAACTTAAAATAATTTAATTAGCTAATATATCAAACTTAGAAAGGTACAGGTGGGGTAAGAGTTTAAAGGAGCAAGTATTACGTAACTCCTCAAAATTGTCCCTAACCTTTGAATGTGACAGTAAGTTGGCCAATGTGAATCTCAGTTCCATGTTTGTTTATTTTTCAGTTTGTTTATTTTATCTAATGAGACAGTAAACATCTGGAGTCATTTGCTGGGCTTCTTTCTCTTCTTCACCCTGGGAATATATGACATGACATCTGTGTTACCTTCAGCAAGTGCATCTAGAGAAGATTTTGTAATTTGTTCTATTTGTCTCTTCTGCTTCCAGGTAAGTCATTTCACAGTACTGCTATTGGTAAACAAAACTTTTGTCAGGCAGGCTTGGTCAGGTGACCTCACCTCAAACCTACCACTTGCTTTAAGATCCCCAGAATGGCATGTAGGTCAGCATATTCATTTTCATAAACTAAACACCAAAACGGTCTGTTCTTATGAGAATATGCTTGAAATCCAGTAAATTACAAAGATTGAGAAAAACTTGTCTCTTTCCTCTTCTTTTTTGGCACCTCTGCTTTGAGATTAATAAAAAAAAATTGGAATCTTTGATTGCATTCAATTATCTGGCTTAAGTACAACACTAGTGTCTACTTAAATCTTGTTTGGGAAGATTTTTCATCTCTTTCCTGTTTGTGTCTGTGATTTTTCTTTTTGTTATTTCCATACTGTATTTTGCTGTCCTGTTTTGCTGGTATTGATTTTTTGTTCTGTTGCTTTAATGTTAATTTCCTTTGAACCCATTTGCCTGGCTTCAAATACTTTCCTTTTCCTTTCTATCTCTTGTATTTGTTAGTTCCATAGCACTGGCATTTTTTAAGAATCTGTAAAAATGTCTTTAAAAGTTACATTTAGAGTGTTGAGCAATGAGAACACATGGACACAGGGAGGGGAGCACTACACACTGGGGTCCATTGGGGGGAAATGGGGGAGGGATAGCGGGGTGGGGAGGTGGGAAGAGATAGCATGGGGAGAAATGACAGATACAGGTGAGGGGAAGGAAGGCAGCAAACCACACTGCCATGTGTGTACCTATGCAACAGTCTTGCTTGTTCTTCACATGTACCCCAAAACCTAAAATGCAATATAAAAAATAAAAAAAATAAAAAAGTTACATTTAGTAGATTTCAAACAGATAATTTTCAAGAATAAAACACATATGGGCCATAGTCCTATTGACATTTAAAACAACTTTTTTTTTTTTAATGCAGAGAATATAGAGAAACATAAAAATGAAAAGAAAAAAACTTATTATCCCCCTTTTTCATGACAGACACAGACTAGCTTTCCCTGCAGTTAGCCTGTTGCTGCTAAGTTTGAGAGGAGAACCTTATAACTCAGATGCACAGATGTTGCTTTCATTGTATATCATTTTATTTCAGAGTGTCATCATTTTACTCAGGTTTAAACTTTGGACCTAAATGACCAAGAAACACAGCGAAAACAAAAGCAAAAACAACTCTCTTCCCCTTTTCTAATTTCAGTTTTTAGAATAATATTTTAATTTTCTTCGAGGGAAAGCATAATCTATTTTTGTTATTAGAAAATTATTTTTTCTTCAATTATTTTTTAAAATATACTTTCTGAGATCTAATTTTTATCCTGATTATAGCTAAAATATCCCTTACAATCCATAATGAATTTTATAATGAAAATGAAGCAATTTCGTTTTAGTTAAATTTTTAGGTGTATCTCAGTATAGATTAACATGCTCTTAATAATCATTAAGTTAAAAACTAGCTTATATTCTCGTTAGTTGTATGCATAGTATCTACTTTGAGAATCCCTGCTCTTTTCCACTATCCCTAGGCCTATTCTTTATGCCTTCACCACCTGCCACAGCTGATGTTAGTTCAGAGAATATATTAATTTCAATATTGACCTAACAAAACAATATACTGCAAAACTAAAAGGATTAAATAATGACAGCAATTGCCAATAAAGAAACAGAGCCAAAGTATTACAGTGACTTACCCAGGATTATTCAGCAGGGTAGTAAGATCCTGTTCTCCTAATTGCTAGTGCAATGATCATTGTTATTATACATGCTGTACAACCTACCAAAGACAAATGAGCACATCTTCCCTACTTGAAAAAGACCACTTCTTTTTATCAAATTATAACTTGTTCACCTGAGTTTTCCAGATTCTTAGGGTCAGTGGACAGTATAGTAAACCATAAATACATTTATTAATATTGATTTATATTTAATATTAAAAGATAAAACATTTTTGTAACTCTTGTGCTTCTATGTGCTTTAGTGCTTTCCTCTCAACCAGATTAACAGAGTATATTCTGAATAAGAGAATGTAATTCAGGGGCTTTGAACTTTCCTGGGGCATTTGTATTTTGGAGAAGAACATTAGAATAGAATAATGCCTTTCACTAGATTTAATCCATTTACATTCAGTGAACAAATATTTGTTGAATGTGTCCTGTATACATCCAGACATTATGCTAGGTATCAGTAAAACAGTGCTAAACAGAACTGACTTGGTATAAAGGTCAAGCCACTCGTAGGAGAGCAGAAGAGACAGTGAGGCAGGGCATTTAAGCAGAAAAAAGAAGCAAGACTCACTTTCTTAGCACTTTTTGGACTTGCAGGTGCTAGTTTTTGTGGTTGAAACCTAGGAGAATGAGAAAGATAAGTCTAGAGTGATTGGCAGGGATCAAACCATGAGGTATTTTGTTATCATGCCAAGGAGTTTAGATATTGGATATAACACTGTAATTATCTGTCTGCTTTGTCTCCATAGAAGGGAACTTTCCATTATAACTGAAACATACCCAATTTGCCAGATTGTCTTTCAGTCCATTTTTAAAGGAACTCTAAATTAAACACATGCCTTCTTAAACAGGGCATACTAGGTATGGGTTTACTTTTTAAAACCTGGAGTTTTCTGTTAACACTATTTATTTTTTATTTTACTTAGATACCATAGTTTTTCTTCTTCTTTTTCACAATGAAATTAGCTTTATTTTCATTTCTAATTACTACTACAAGATATAATCATGTAGAAATTTAAGCAAACAAATTTATGGAAGAAAAAGTCACTTGAAATGCCACTTTTCAGAGGTATTCGCATTGGACATTTGCATTAAACAACGAGTTTAACCCAAATGTGTATGTTTGTGTAAGCATAGCTATCTTGACCTGCCTACCTGCCCACTCACTTACCTGTCTACCTACGTCCAAGCTACAATCATCCCTGCTTGCTATTTTGTGACCTGCTCTTGTGTCATTCAACATTGTGGCAATGAGACCTTTCCCCATCAATGAGAATATACACTTTCATGTTCTCCTGATTTATGGTGCTTAATATCAAGGATAATCTGAGAAAACAAATAACCAAGCTTCTTAGAGTTACGTTTAAATAACTAACTTAGAGTTAGTTATTGATTGGTTGCCTAGTAACCAAAAAGCTATAGACTATTAAGGATTTTAGACAATTGATGATGCAATGAAGATGTGACAAAGTACATTATTATTGAATATTGATAATTGAGTCTATAGTAACTAGATTTGTTTAATGATCAGAATATAAAATATTAATAGCTATTTGACCATTTTACTGCCTTAGCAATTGTTTACAAATGTTTATCAATTGTGCCTACTTCCTATTGTTTATTTGTCCCATTGTCTCTACCCCCACTGTCATTGTCTCAGTAAGTGCTCTCCAAGGCTATTCCTATAACCTCCTGTTTCAACCCTTCTAGTCCACACCTATGTAAGGGGGCACTTAAAATCTTGAGGAGTATCATATCTTACCCATAATATTGAAGTTAAAACCCATTAATGTATAGGACATGTCATAATCAAAGAATATGATGCTTTTCCTTAATCCCCACCCCCCCACCATAAACGTGCACACCTTTTTTTATGTCCTTGGTGAATGCCAACTTTTAAAATCCAGCTCAGTAAACAGCCCTTCTCTGATACTCTTTTCTTTCCACCAGTCCCACCTTCCAAATGCATATGTACTCCCACAGAGTCCATATTCTCCCTCCTTTTCCAATTATTCTCTGCACTGAAGTACAGTAGGACTTTCTTACTGTACTGTTTGTTCAGTGATTCTGTATCCTGTCCAATGTATGACACATAGCAGATACTTGATGGCTGAAAGGCATTCTGCCATAGAAACCTTATCAATTATCAGAGCAGCTGATTGAATCAGATTAGCTTTACTCTCAGTGTGGCAACCATATAAAGTTAGCAAGTCATGGTTTATTTTTAAATTACTATTAATATTTTTTGAGACAGGGTCTCACTCTGTCACTCAAGCTGGAGCATAGTGGTGCAGTCACGGCTTGCTGCAGCCTCGATCTCCCAGGCTCAAGTAATCGTCCTGCCTTAGCCTCCCAAGTAGCTGGGACCACAGGTGCATACCACCATGCCCAGCTAATTTTTTATTTTTTGTAGAAATGAGGTCTCCCTGTGTTGCCCAGCCTGGTCTCGAACTCCTATGCTCAAGTGATCCTCCCACCATGGCCTTTCAAAGTGCTGGGGTTACAGGCATGAGCCACTACAACACTGGCCTGTTTTTTCTTGAAGGCAATAAAGTTGTGTTTACCTTAGAACTATAAAGTAAATTCTATACAATGAATCTTAGACAGACATGAAAATTCTTAACTGAAAAAAAGCAAATTTGTGGAACAGAACACATAGTGTGATTTCATTTAATTTTAAAATGTGTATATATATATATTTATCATGTGTGCATTTGTGTAGACTAATACATCACAGGTGTTTGACATATACATTGAAAAATATCTGGAAAGACACAACAGATGTTAACAGTGGCTACTTCTGGGGAATAGATTGAGTGAAAGGGTCTTATATTTATGTTCTTTGGTTTTTTGTTAAGGATATGTTTTGCTTCTGTAGTAAATATTCTTCTTTTTTTTTTCTTTTTTTCTTCTTTTGACCTGTGTCTAGAAATACAGTAAATACTCTTTAAAAAGAAATGAATTCATGGATCAAAACAAGCCTCAGATGATAGTTTTAAAACATTTATGTTGTTTAATTTTCCCATTACTGTGCTATTTATTTATAATTTTCATTTTATAATATAGTTATTTTAAATTTTCTCTGTCATTATTATTATCTCCATTTTACCCATGAGGAAATTGAGGCATTAGAGTAATGACATGGTTTGCTCTACTATAAGGCACAGAGCTAGAATCCAAGCCCATGAAAAGTTTGAATTGAAAGCCTAGCCTCTTAACTGCTTCCCTGAACATCATGCATAAGTTGCTTTAGTTTCTTTAGTCACTTTGTTAAGATTTTTTTTTATTTTCCATAGGTCTGTATGCTTTGCTCTGTGGGCTATCATCTTTTTTCCTGCCACCGGTCAGAAAAAACATGTCGAAGATGGATGGCATTAGATTATGCAGGAATTTCTATTGGCATACTGGGCTGCTATGTCTCAGGAGTATTTTATGCATTTTATTGTAATAACGTAAGTAGATTAGGACATTTTACATTCTACCTTTCATATAGGTCTTGGGTTTTCTTGGCTTGGTTCTTTTGAATTTCTGAATAAGTACATAATTAATTTATAGAATAAATAGAAGAGTCTTATATAAGCATAAACTTATTTTTCAAAATGGTCCTGTCATTTCTAACATCTGTTTATCAGTTCCATATTTATTTTGCTAATTTTCTATTGGAAAATATATATACAGTTATTTTCTGAAACGTACTGTAGACATTAAATTATTAATGTTTTCACTAAATATGTATGGCTGCATGGTTCCTCAGATATACACATTATATATCTTTTATTTGTGTGTTTATAGAATTGAAGTTAAAAATAACACTTGTTAAAATTATGAAGTTGTTTACTGCTTTCCATTCCTTTTTCCTCCTCTCAGTGAAAAAGAATAAATGAAAGTATATCTGAATTTATTAATCCATATTCTTCTGTAAAAAATGTTTTCCTGTCCTCAGTCTTACATTTAGGGGTAGGCCTATAAGACAGAACAGGTAGGGTGAATGTCTTTAACAATGCGAGGTGTGTCTTTTCTGAGTTCTGGATCAACTCTGCTTTCTGTCCATAAGTTCATACAAAAGTCAGTTTTTGCCTTTTGCAAAGCAGCATTTGCAACACTGTAATCAGATAATACAGCACCTGACCTAAAAATAGTGGCCAACCAAACCTTATTAGAACCCCTAACTCATTACCTCATGTTCCAGCCAAGAAGACAAATTGAAAGTTCCCATGGGCTCAGTACATCTCAAGTTCTCCCTTTCAGAAAGTCCCCTTTGACCCTACTTTGTTTTCCTCCTGTTTTTCTACCATACCTTTGTTTTTTCTTTTGCCCTTTTAGTTATCTCCCTTTCAGAACCAAGACTGAGCTTCTCCCTCAGGAGCAATATACCTGCTACTTATTTCTAGTCCTAGTCACAAAGAATAGAACCTGTCCTGCCCAAGGCCCACCATGTAGTAGGTGCTGTAAGGCAGGGGTCATCAACCCCCAGAACCTGTCTGTGGCCTGTTAGGAACCAGGCCACACAGCAGGAGGTGAGCAGGCAACCAAGAGAAGTTTCCTCTTTACAGGGAAGCTTCCATTTACAAGGGAAGTTTAGTATTTGCAGTCACTCCCCATCACTCAAATTACCACCTGAGCTCCAGCTCCTGTCAGATCAGCAACATTAGATTCTCATAGGAGCACGAACCCTATTGTGAACTGCACATGCAAAGGATTTAAGTTGTGCATTCCTTATGAGAATCAAATACTTGATGATCTGTCACTGTGTCCTGTCACCCCCAGATGAGGGCTGTCTAGTTGCAGGAAAACAAGCCCAGGGCTCCCACTGATTCTACATTATGGTAAGTTGTATAATTATTATTATTATTATTGCAATGTAATAATAATAGAAATAAAGTGCACAATAAATGTAATGTACTTGAATCATCCCAAAACCATCCCTGCCTGCCCCACCCCCGCATCACAGCACAATTCATGGAAAAATTGTCTTCCACAAAACTAGTCCCTGGAGCCAGAAAGGTTGGGGACCACTGCTCTAAGGCACAGTCCCCAGCCTTCATTTATTGGGAAGATTGGCCACAGTGTGGGATTCCTCAGATTGCTTGGGTTTTTCAGTAGACCTTTGTCTCTACACAATAGCAGAGAAAATTGTCAACATATCTGGTATGAAAATTAGCGAAGAGAAAAATCACAAATTTGATTTGAATATGTAAGAGCATTATTGTAGCTGCTTAAATGTGAACTATTTGCTTTTTAGGCCTAATCGCTTTGGAACATAAGCACATAATTAAATATATATGCAGGCAACCTTGTTGTAAATTGACTTGATTTTAGTAGTATACTATTTATTTCTGCTCAGCTTTCATAACTTACTCATTTCGCATGAAACTGTTTACATCTTTAAAAAAATTAGAACATACTGATAACCAGGTGCTTGTAATTTTTTAATTGTTTTGTTTATCTTATTCTGTATTTGTCTGAAACTGTTTTTCATTTATCTCTTGCTAAACATCAAAGTGAGATACTTTTTATAAATCTCTTACAAGAAAAACTAAAAGTCCAAGATAGATTAGAAAGATAAAGGAACTACTGTAGTTGATACAGTCAGTCCATAATTGTTTAAAGGAAAAATTGGTTTCTTCCTTCTTGTTTCTAATCATTTTCAAATACTCAGTTGCTGTAGACTTATAAAAGGCTCATTTTACTTTTTAAGGAACACAGCTGCTTTCAGAATAAAATTGGAAACTATGGACCCTAGATCCAGTAGAATGTACTTTTCAGCACACCTAAACAAACAATCTGACATTTCATTTCAGGAAGTTAATATCCCCAGAGAAGTCCTTGAAGCCCAGATTAAGAACTCTTGTCTTATGTGACTTTTGACTTTAAGATCAGCTAACTGCTTATTTAAATACCTATGTATCCCATAAGCCCTTCAAACCTAAGCTAAGTGTGTATTCTTTCATGCTCCTATTCTCTTCCCCCATCACACACACACCAAACCTGGACCAAACAAACAAAGATGTTTGTTCATTTGCTTCATTAATAGAAGCCATTTATGTGGCCTTTCAGGCTAAAAACAGTGAAGCTTTCCTCTACTGCCCTCTCACACATCCAGTCAGCCATTATGACTTGAGCTTATTTCAAAAATGCCTCCTAAATCTGGTGCTCACATCAACTTTATTCAACAGGAGTCTCTGCCCTCATTCTCTCTTTGAATAAACTAATATCTTTCTAGCGGTTTCCTTTCACTAAACTGATGTCAGAGTCGTCTTTCTGATAAGTCAGTTTGAAAAGCAGCCATGTCATACTATTCTTAAAGAATTCTGCTATTCCTCCAGTGCCAATGTGGTAAAGTTCAAAACATTTAGCCTAACAGTATGCCTTTTCAGCCTTTCTTCTCAAAACTTCCTGCTGCATTTGCTGTTCTCTTTCCTGAGAGCTCTGTCTTTCCACAAAGTCTTAGATGTCATATCCTCTAAGAAGCATTTTTTAGCTACCAAGTGAAGTTAACTGTTCTCTCTTCTATGGTTCTACAATGTTGTGTTCCTAACGCAGTTACAATATGTGCCATAAGATTATAATCATTTGTTTACATGTCTGCCCCTTCCATAGTCTGTGAGCTCACCACTGGGAGAGTCCATGTCGTAGTCATCTTTGCTTTTATAGGACTTGAACTGTGCCTAGCACATAATAGGTAATTAGAAAATGATTTTGTATGGATAAACGTGATCTTCTACCAGCTCACTTTGGAACTTGATTTGTCATCCTGAGAAACCTAAACATTGTATGGAACATATTTTTTAAGGAAGGGGGATGATCCTGTTTTGAAGGGCAAATACAAAGTAAATAGAGTTTGGAATTTGTAATGTAAAAGCCAAGATTACATTTTCAGTTCCTTTAATGTTAATAACGTAATTAAAATTTGATTTTCTTTCATTTTAGTACTGGCGTCAGGTGTACTTGATCACAGTGCTTGCTATGATCCTGGCAGTGTTCTTTGCGCAGATTCATCCCAATTACCTCACACAGCAATGGCAAAGGCTTCGTTCTATCATCTTTTGTTCTGTTTCGGGATATGGAGTGATTCCCACTCTTCATTGGGTTTGGCTCAATGGAGGAATCGGTGCTCCTATTGTACAGGTAGGTTGAATGTAGTTGATATTTTTCTTTTTTTTTCTTTCAATTTTATTCCTTTTGGGTAAAGTAGTATAATCAGGCCAAGTGGGTGGATGTTTGTCATTTCAGAACATATTTGTAACTGCATATTGATGCCATATTTTCACAGCCATGTAAATAAGCATACCTTGCAGAAGTCGAGGTAAAATCTAAATAATGTTTTTCTCTGAGTTGCCTTTATGTAAAATAATACATTCTTATTCTGTTACCTTTAATATATAAATACCCAAGTCCTTTTTTGTGGAGGAAGACTCTAAAGTTTCTAGCTTTGTCTGCTGAATCAGTGATAATGGCAATGATAATGCAAGTATAGAAATAGGAGCAAGTGATCTTTTAAAGGGGGTGAAGGGAGGTTGGGAAGGATTTTTTGTGGACCCGATAAGTTTAGGGTGCCCGTTTGATGTAAAGGTAGAGATAAGATCTGAGATTTCAGCCAGAGTTTGAGACTGGAAATAAAGATTTAGAAATCATCATTGTATTGGTAGCTGGAGCCAGGGAAGCATATTTAATCCAGCAAGGAAAATATGTTGAGAAATAAAAGAAGAGCTATTTATTAGAATCGGGTATTTTGGGGGAACAGTTGATGTGCATTAAGAAGAGCCTCAGTGAGAACTCAGGATCCTTGAGATAAGGATTAGAAATAAGACTTACATTCTTAGAGATCGTTATAAAAATGCTCTAAGTATACACTAGAGAGTAAACTTGAGAATTTTTAATATAAGTAAATAAGCCAAGAAATCTGACAGAAATCACATATACTTGTTGCAATGGGACCTTTGTTTAGAATGTGTAACTTTAAAGGTGGGTTTTATTCGAAAGAATCAGATTTTACTAGAAGAGGAGGGACCATTAGTGGGCTTACATTTATTTGCATGAAGTTGGCAACAGTATAGTGGAAAACAGTTGGGTATACAGCTGAAAAGAAAGGAAGTTCTGTGACAGAGTGAATTGAAAGATAGGAACTGGCCACTTGTCCAATTTGAGGACAAGGGTGATGATTTCTTCATAAATTAGGAAATTGGGAGAAAGGTGAGACAGTAGTGATGAGGGATATCAGTAATCCTCCTATCTGTGAAAACATCTTTCCAACAATTTTGATTCACCAATAATAAGCAAATGGAATGGGGAACTGCCACTCTAGATAAATTCCAACTGGAATAATTAGTTGTTGACATAGAAGTGACCAAAATTTTTGGATGTGATAAACACATTTCTTTTGAGCTTATAATGACAAAAAGAATAAGACCCACTAAGTAAATTTTAGAGAAATTAAGAAAAAAATGGGAATTTTTTTTTGTATTCACAAATCTTAAAATGGAAAGATGGCTTAGATAATAGTTTTCAAAGATGGACCCCTAATATGATCACAGATCATTCCAGTGAGAAAGCAAAGGGAAACTTACAGAGCAATTCTGTAAGCTCTAATTTTAAAAAGATAGAAAGACAGGCACTTTAACCAAAGATTAAAAGGTCTGGAAGGGTTAACCTTGGGAGGCAGGATCAATTTGTGTTCTAGAATGTTTGAGAAATCTGACATTGATTAATTTGAAAAATATAGGAGTTAGGGAGGGCTATGATGATTCTCATGTTTCAAGAGGAAGGAGAAATTTGTTTTTATTTTTTTATTTCTTTGAAACAGTCTCTCTCTCTCTCTCTCTCTCTCTCTCTCTCTCTCTCTCTCTTTTTTTCTCTCTCTCTCTCTCATCCTCAAAGTCCTCAGCTCAAGCAGTCCTCCCACCTCAGCCTCCCAAGTAGTTAGGACTATAGATGTGCACCACCATGCTCAGCTAATTTAAAACATACAAAAATTAGCTGGGCTTGGTGGCGTGTGCCTGTAATCCCAGCTACTCAGGAGGCTGAGGCAGGAGAATTGCCTGAACCCAGGAGGTGGAGGTTGCGGTGAGCCGAGATCACGCCATTGCACTCCAGCCTGGGTAACAAGAGTGAAACTCCGTCTCAAAAAAAATAAATAAAAATTAAAATTAAAAAAATCATAGAGATAGGAGTCTTACTATGTTGCTCAGGCTAGTGTTGAACTCCTGTCCTCAAATGATGCTTCTGCCAAAGCCTCCCAAGATGGTAAGATTGCAGGCATAAGCCATGCACCCAGCCTGTCCTTATTTCTTAAATGAGTTCTTAGTAAATTAGGTTTATAACTAGTATTAGGAACAATATGTATAAGGATAGCTTGCTAGATTTCCTCAGGGCCAGGAAAGCCTTTTCAATACTGTGTCAGTAGTGAGACAAAGTGCTTCATATAGTAGTATTCAAGAGGAACATTTATCTGGGATGTGTCTTGGGCAGACTCCTTAGGTCTTTTCCAGCCATAAGTTCCTGGTCTTCAGTGTCTTTGCTTATTTACCTGGCAACTCCATTCCCAAATGCATTCCACCCATATACCTACATTGTAGATGGAGTTGGGTGGGTACCCTTAGGAACTTCAGCATATTAAAAGCTCTAGCCCTTTTAGAAGCCTGACCATTAGGGCATTCTCTTTACTCCATTCTTGCAGATTGCTTCCAGCATATAAGAATAAGGTTTCTATTACTGGAGACAATCTACAAAACAATTCAGATTTAACAATCTTAAATTCCACTATTAGATTCATAATAAATTTGTAATTCAGTAACAGTAGGAAGATCTGTGAAAAAACATGTTTTGCTTTTCAGGACTTTGCACCCCGTGTAATTGTGATGTATATGATTGCTCTTCTTGCTTTCCTATTCTACATTTCTAAAGTTCCAGAGCGGTACTTTCCAGGTAGGTGTCTCTTTCATAGCAGTTTTGTATTGTTATTCTAAATATATATGCCCAAGGTATATGCATCAGATCATCAAAACTTAGTTTCATTTTTTAAATATTATTGGTTATGGAAATGGGTCCTCTCTTCTCAAATGTTACCTAAAACGTTGAAAGGGCTTTCACAACTTTTCCTTTCATCTTTCATCCTGACCATGTAATTTGAGTCCAGTAGGTGGAGTTGTCACTGTTTTATGGTTATGAACTAGTGACAAAGCTGACATTAGTCTTTTGAGTCTTCTGATTCCCAACCACTATTTCTTTTAAAAATGGAACACTATTAACTACAATTTACTTTTTTATATGCCAACTGGTTCTTTAAAAGTAATTTATATATGCAGAGACATATAAAGCAAGAAATAAGAAAAGCAAAGGATGGTAAAAAAAAAAAAGTGAAATCAGGTTTGAAAAGATCACTTCACAGTATGTATATCAAAGGGGTCTATAAAATAGATAAAGGTGACAAACCTGGCTTTAGGCTTCCTGGCACCCAGCATTAGGAAGAAAATGTGAAAGTTAAGAGCCTTTGTGTTTCCAAGATATACACAAGCCAATAGACTTTTTTTGTTCTTCAATGCAAAGAAAATATTTTCTGTTGGAAAATAACTAAGAGGACACTGGATGGAGTGAACAACATTCTCCAAAACCCATATTTGTTTGTTTTAGAACCTTAGCTCTTGAGTCAGACTGCTTGCGTTCAAGCCCTATTACGTGAGCTAAGTAAGGTACTTAAGCACTCTTAACTCCAGTTTCCTATCTAAAACATGGCAATACTTTTTTTTTCTAGTATTATAGTAAGGATTAGATGAGAAAATGCATATAACACAGTTGAGTGAGGATTAGATGAGAAAATGCACATAACATGTAATAAAGTTTCTAGCAATTAGTAGGGACTGAATAAATGATAGCAATTATTGCTATGTCCCCGCACCCTGGTCTTTTAAGTGAAATATGTGGCTTAGTAAGGGGCAGAGTGATGCAAATCTAGGTAAGTTTTGGCATAGGTCAGAAGTAACATTTAGAGTCATAAACTGATTTTTTTCAGTTTGGAGAGCTAGAAGTCAGGGAGCAGTTTAAATCTAAACTGCAAATTTATCCCCTCTTCTTTCTGGGCTAAGAATCACTTCCACAGTGAATCAGAGAAGGGATTGTACCACTCATCATGTGTGCTGGGGAGGAAGAATGGGTGAGACACCGTGGCCTAGGTGCATCCCACAGATCCTCAGGCATTCCTCTGTGTACTTGGTTTTCCACCACTGAGCTTTAAATAAGAATGGAAAATACAAGGGAAAACCTGAGTTGTAAACATGAGGATTTGTGAACAGATCTAGGACATGCTGCTGATTTGAAGACCAACCATCTTCCAGGTAGGGCCAGAATTTCCCTTAGAAAACAATTCTGGTAAAATATATTTTTGTATCACTTTATTAATAATTCTTTTTAAAATTCTGTTTTTTTCTTTATAATAGACAAGTAGAACACTAAACCATGAAAATTCTCTATGTGATAATGACCGTAGTGGTTTTAGGCCTTAAAATTTACAGATCAGGAGTCACCAATTGTTTAATATAGGACATCTCTAAAAAATCAAATTTTTTGTAACTTAACCTTCCCCAAGACACACTTGACATAAAATGTGCCCCATGTAGCAGAATATCCAGAGTTCCGGTACATGAGAGCAGAGGAGATAAGGAAACTAAAAAAATTAAAAGTCTTTACAGTGAAAAGTGATAGTCTCAAATGTTCATGTATAAATACCTTAGAAACTGTCTCTGGCAAGTCCTCAGGTATGACTTCACTACTGGGAAATAAAATAAATTTTAACCTAAAAGCTTTCACTCCCCTCAGGTCGAATGTTTACAAATGCATATACAATACAATGGCATTCAGTGGGTCCCAGGATCCCTAAGGTGTCCATGGATAGAATTGAGTGGATCTCTGATAGTTGTATTAGATAATCAATATTTGTTGTAATCCTCTATATTTTGTTTTTTAAAAAAATACAGGTCTGTAGGCTTCATTAGATTGCCAGAGGAGTCCATGGTACAAAAAAGGCTAAGAATCTTGTTGACATATACTTTAAAATCTGTGTACTGTACTGATTGGTAAGAAAAAAAAAGGGTCAAGAATATTTACATTATAAGACCATAGAAGCACCATGAGTATGTTATTTACATTGAAATTATTATAGATCTGTATTTTGTTACTCACTGAGAAAGCTCAAGATTTCCATATGTTAATCTTAGAATTTAACATTTGACCACAAAGAGATTAAATTGTTCTCTGAAGTTGTATATGAACTGATGAACCTTAGTTAATTAACCCATTACTTATTACATCCTGCAGATTATTCCATTAGTTAGAGAGCTCAAGATTCAGGTCAGCACTTTTTCTTTGAACACCTGCATGAAATAAAAAGTGCCTCTAGTAGATTTATATCTAAACACAACAGTATATCTGCTTCTCACAAAATTACCCCATGATTTATAACATCTAGTTTCTTTTGCCTCTCTCAATAATTTTTGGTTGTTCATTCTGCCAAATATGAGTTGAGACGTGGGAGGCATTAAGGTCAAATTCCTGAAATTAAGTTAGGTTTTGAAAACACACTTGGAATAGCGTTTCTAATGTTAACTTGTGTACTTAAAAAATAAAACCTTAAAACTGACCCATAGATAAATTGATTCATTTTTAAAAACATTTGGATCTCCAGTTAGCACTCTGAGACTACCAAAATTTTTCTGCTGCTAAGCCATACATCCAAGAAATATATTTTTCTTTTAATGTCAACTTACTGAAATCAATATTATTTTCTTTCTACCTTCTTTCCAGGACAACTAAACTACCTCGGATCAAGCCACCAAATATGGCATATCCTTGCAGTAGTGATGTTATATTGGTGGCATCAGTCAACAGTGTATGTCATGCAGTACAGACATAGCAAACCTTGTCCTGACTATGTTTCACATTTGTGAATTAGGTATGGCCACCTGATGAATTCAGTTGTTAAGCAATATATAATGGGGAATTGTATACCCCACTATTTCTAAGAGTCCCATTAGTTTTCCCTTTTTCCTCTTTGAATATTGCTTTATAAAAATGGGGAAAAAAGCATACTTGAGGATCTGTAGTAATAACTGCTTTATAGGACCCTTAAAACTATTAATTTGCTGCTTGTACAGAAAGTGAAAATTAGTTGGCAATCATATGAAACATCTGAATAACAACAATGAATGGGAAACTAGTGTAGAAATAGAATTCATTTTATTTAGCACCAGCTTAATTTCTTTAGGAAGGGCTCATCTCCATTAGAAAATGGAGTCATCCTATGTGCTTAACTATTTTCAGTAAATTATCAAGTTTAAGTGCCTAATCAAGGCAAGGGTTATTTCAGCCTATGCTTAATACAAACTAGGATAGTGATTTTAAATAATCACTAGCCTTTACATACATGATTTGTGAGAAACTGGCACTTATGATATTATATCCTTTAGCTATAGGTTCTCCTCTCCCTAAGAACATTAGATATTTTAGTTTTCCAGAACAAAAGCATTAAACTTATCCTGTAAGTTGAGAGAAGGGTTGAGAAGAGGAAAAGAATTTGCCATTTCCTATCAGATAAAATTCATATTAGAAACTAAATACAGGATTAGACAACAAATTATATGGTCAAACAACATAGTCTTTAGCCACCTAAACATTTTAATTCCAGATATTATTTAATTCTATATAATAGCTGAATTCTTTTGAGTGGATTACAGAAGGTTTTTGATCCCAAAATTCCAGAGAGCTTTCAATTCTCTGAATTTGTAGTCCTGAATATCCCAGTGATGGGGGTTCCCAGCTGCATGGGTGCTACTTTCAAGGCCATAGAATCTAGATGGCCCTGTCTTGACCCTGAAATGAACCTTAAGCCTTAGAACAAAGTCATACAGATGCCCCATTTGATACTATGGTTATTCACCTGTGCTCTAGTCCTCAGTTTCTGCATGTGTTAGCATTGCATTGATAAATCAGAATCTTGATAAACACTTAATATTTGGACCTGAAGGTTTAAACTTTCTCTGTATTGTATATATTTAAAAAATAGATCTCACTGCCCTACCATACACTGTAGCCCCCTTGTTCTTTGGTCTTTCATATGCATTAAATACCTTAAAGCAGATGTTCATAAAAACTTACATTGGAATATAAAGTATTACCCAAGTTTCTTAATGAGTTGACATGAGCTGTTTTAAATACTGGTGTATTTTCAGAACAGTAAAATTACTGAATATCAGAAAAAAATGTTGATTGGTGATGAAACTTATTCCCAAAATGCCTTTTGTACATAGAGTATTTGGAAAGTTTAATGTGCCTCAATTAATACATCAGTAAAATGTTGTGTTTTTTTTCCAGTGTAGTGTTTTTGGAATATAAATTCCCCATGCTAATATCTCAGCAAAGAGAATTTCCCCCCTGCCGGCTCAGTCAGGAATACTGTGTCTTACCCATCATTATGATAGAATGCTGCTTTGAAAATGGCTATATTACCTTCTACGGTTAAAAATTTGATCCCAATCCTAAATAACAGAAACTTTTGGTGCAACAGTAATAGGATGTATTTCCCCTAGAACTTCCCTTATTGGTTTACATGATTTTATTGCCTTTAAATAGGTATTTTGTCATTTTGGCCAAACAAAAAACACTAGAGTAGTTATAATTAAGTTGAAAATTAGGAGAAAGGCATTATTTTAGTTATGGAGCCATTTTTATTATAACATTTTCTCAAAATAAAATTGAATCTTATTTCAATTTTAATTTTTCCAGTCCCTGTTTGTTATATGAATTAATGTTTGTCATCTGAATTAATACATAAAAAGAGCATTCTGTGTTTTTAAATCACGGTTTCTTTAAATTTAAAAGGTATACAGTCTTTCTGTAGGGAAAATTGTTCCATGTAAACATTTCAACTTCTTATAAAAATGTTAACTATTGTAAGAAAGTTATCCTTTCATTTTTTCATTGCTATGATGTATTTATTATAAAGTAGGGAATGAATGAATGTGGATTGCTGTCAACTAGAAATATTTCTGTATGTCAGTCAGCATTTAACGACCACCTACTGTGTGCACAGCACTACTGGTAAAATTTTGAAGACATTGTTAACATTAAAAAATGTTTTAAAGTTGTCTACAAATCTGAGCCTTGTAATGATGTATATTTATTTTTGTTTTATAGATTTATTAAAATACACTATCTAGTTAACAGTACTAAAAAAGACTGGTTGTAATTTTACCAATGTGTAAACTATAAAAGCTTTTTGCCTACAGATTTTACAAGTACATTTTAAAATTATCTATAGCTGTTGTAAATTGTCTAGCAATTTATATGGTTGTGGTTAACTCATTTAAGAAACAATTATCTTTCTATATTAAGCCATTTTCAAATAGCAAGACAGTGCTTGTCTTTTTTTTGTTATTATACTAACTGCAATTCAGTAAGCTGCATGACAAAATATGTATTATGTAAATAAACTGGGTTTACTAAATATTTTTAAGTGCTGCTTGTCATTCTTTGTAATACATAACAACTTTAAAATCGTATTTTAGAATCAGGAATGAAGATTCAGGGAATGTCTGTCACATCTTTTGGCATCCCACCTGGACAGAATATCCGATTTGAAGATTGTGATTGACTGGCATAAAACTGTACAACTCTCCATTTGCCAGGTACCTACTAGATTGTATTTTGCCCCATATTAAATGTCAAGGGGCAAAGCCTGTTCCTCTGAATTTCTGCTGGTTACTGAACTACATTAGGTTCCTGTCCACTCCAAATCATCATTCCTGGGAATTCTACCTCTGCCCAACTCTGTAAAGAATCAGCTCACGTATTAGAGAAGGGGTAGAAATATCTTATATGTACATTATCACAATAACTGTTTTCACTGAAGAGATGCAAATACGGTTCCCTGAAATTTTGTACCAGAATTCCTGAGTAATGAGATAATGATCCAGAACTGAAACCACCCTTAAGGAAAAATTTGTGGAAGGGAGAGGGAAATAGAAATAGGGAGTTTCTTGTGAAAAATGAATCTCCATCCTTTAAGAGAGCTGAAATGAACAGCCACCAAGGTTCTAGTCCTGCTCTGTAAAATCTGAGATCAAAATACTACCTAACATGCATGTAACCTCAGTTGTGGCAACCATCTGAACTATTTTTTTATGTGACAACAAAAGCTCAAGCTTTCAATAAGAATATTAACTACATGTTACATATGATGCTTAAGCTGGGCTTCCTTAAAAAGGTATTAATTGGGCCAGGTGTAGTGGCTCACCCCTATAATCCTAGCACTTTGGGAGGCTGAGGTGGGTGGATCACCTGAGGTCAAGAGTTCAAAACCAGCCTGGCCATCATGGTGAAACCTCATCTTAAAAAACAAAAAACAAAAAACAAAAAAAAAAAAAAAAAAGGTTATTAATTATCCAAAATAAATAGCTCAAATTGCAGCATATATTCATCTCAAATAGGTTAACTATAACTAAATTTGAACAGTAACACACTGCAAACTAATTCTGTTAAATAGAACTTTTCTAATCATTTGTGTTATTTTGCTGCTTTGTACCGTAATTCATTAAAAAGCCTGTTTCCACATAACTTTAGATGAATGTTACAACTTCAAAAAAAATGTCACTCATAAAAATAAGATGAATCTTTCCACAGTCCACCAATCTAAACACTCCAGTTTGTGGAATCATACATAATATTATAACCTTAATGCCAAGCTTAGTCCATCAATCCAATAAATAGGTTCTCTTTAATGTATCATAGCCTCTTTGCTGATATAATTAAGGATTATAGTGTTACCTAATCAAATAACCAGTATTTTATTCAACCAAAGATATTACCAGTCTTTAAAGATTTTTAAAAATAAATTATGTATAATGTAGAAGCTGCAAAACAAGTTACTCAGAAGGCAATACACAATATTTTTGCCTTACTGTCATCACTCTATCAGTAATTGCAGTGACTGACTGAAAAAATCATGCTATACAGTGTTCTTGCAAAAACTTTTAAGTCAAATGGGTTTTCTTACCTAAATTGTAAAATGTGAGCTCCTTAAGGAATAGGGAAAGAATCTCACCCATTTTTCTATTCCACTAGCTGCTACATAATAGGAGCTTAATGTTTGTGGTGTGAATGAAAGAACTGAATCTGAATAGAAATTTACATCCAAAACTTGTAATAAGACAAATAATAAAAAACTCCAAAGTCACTGATTATAAAGAATATGCAATCCATTTGGGATTTATTGCATTTAAAGAAAACAGATTATTAAAACAGGTATGATAAATACAGTAAGAAAATAACTTTAAATTTCAAACAAAACATAGTGAATCAGGGACAGAATTCAGTCAAAAAGAATAAGCAATGTAAAGGCAATAAAGTAATAAAATCAGTTAGTGCTTAATTAGGGAAGGGTGGTGGGGGGGTGGGGGGGCCTGGGAAGGGGAGACTGAGTCTATCTCATAACTGTTTCCCAGCTATATTTGAGGGCTGAAGTTACTTTAGCCAGTATGTTTTGTAACAAGTAGAAATACAATAAAGATGTAAATTTGATTTATTTAAAGGTTAAAGTTATTTGCTTAGTGGTACATAAAAGTCTTCAGAAAATTCAAGTTTAACAAAAAATGGAAGTGTAATCAAAGAAAGTGCACTTAAAGCTGTTTGCCAGCAATTAAAAAGTAGCTTCTATACAGCTTCTATTAGATGACTTTTCAATCATAAAAACAGCATAGTAATAAAAACAATTCTTTCAAAAGTAGCACTACAAATTTTAAAATAAAACAAAATAACCCCAAATCATGACCCTTTGCATTATCATCTACCTTATTCTTTTAGTAGCTTTTGTAAACTCTCACTAGGAGTGAATGTTCTCTTAGATATGATTGTGGTTGCAATTCCATTTTTTAAAAATTCACATTAAATCCACAGTAGAGAGATGTGACAGGCATGTATGTGTACATATTTTATCTTAATGTATAAAACACGACTGAGTATAAAAGTTGTCAAACTATTCATCATTTATGTTATTCTCACAGTAGGTATGTCATCTCATTCTCACAGTAGACTGTCAATTCAATAATTGGACCTAAAATGATAATAGGTTTGCTAAAAAGAAAAAAGAGAAAAAAGTTTTCTGCACATTCTAAATATATTAAAAACAAATGTACCCAAGCTCCTCAAAACTAGTGATATTAATACACTTGTACCTTCTAACAGTGCTTACGTGAAGTACCAAAACCTAAAGTAAACCAAGCAGAGTAGCTGACTGGAAACAAAACCATTCTGCCTGGTGAACTTCAGCATAGAAAAGTGAGCTCCACCTTAGATTTTCCACTAGCAAGAGGAGGACAACAGTCTATCATTCTTAAACAATAAACGGTGGGATTAAAAGCTGTGTCTGTTTGCAAATCCAGATAATGTCATAATTTACACATACACAGGGATTGGGGTAGGGGAAGATAATTACACTCCTGAATAAATATTCTAGTCAGCTAAATTTTCATCTGGCCTACAAGCTTTTCTCCTCCAACTAATATACTTACCATGCAATTTTGTGTCTTAGCAGATATATTCTTCAATGCCATAAAAAGCTGATCTTTTTAATACTAACATTTTACTGATGTGATAATATTAAAATAAGCAAATGGTCCACTTTTTAAAGGATTATTCAAAATCAACAAGCATTATTAAAGCTGTTAGGAAACAACTTTGGCCTCAGAGTTTTGCTAGCTTCATAATTTACTTCTCTTAGTGATGTTCAAGTATAACAGGTTTAGAGTTATAACTACATCCTAAAGAAGCACAGGGGACACCAAATAATATTAGGAAAAAAAACCCATATATATATATATATATATTTGCTTAGTGGTATATATATAAAACCTTCCTTCCTTAAACCAAAATTGAACCATCCCATAATAGAGCCAAACTTTTACCGAGTGCTGTGTGCCAGGTGGTAAGCACTTTCACATACCTTGGGAGCTTTATTCTCATAAGGGAATGACCTGAGCATCAGCTGTGTGGAGTGACCTACACCAGGCATCCCCAAACTACGGCCCGTGGGCCGCATGCGGCCCCCTGAGGCCATTTATCCGGCCCCCCGCCGCACTTCAGGAAGGGGCACCTCTTTCACTGGTGGTGAGAGGGGCACAGTATGTGGTGGCCCTCCAACGGTCTGAGGGACAGTGAACTGGCCCCCTGTGTAAAAAGTTTGGGGACGCCTGACCTACACCATGACCATGATTCTGGGGGATGATGAATGAAAATGCAAAGTATAAATCTATACTCCTTAGTTAAATGCCTCTACTTCAACACAAAGGAATCTCTCCATTTCTATCCCATTGAACCCCCAATTTAATCCTGTATCTCTTCTCTGAGCTACAATCTTGAAAGAAGAAAGTCACTGTGCTGTGTTATAAGAATGTAAATATTTTAAACTGTCAGAGTTCTTTCCTCAGAATTTATCCAACATTATAAGCCAAAGCGTCTACATCAGTGTCTGAATCATTTAAAATTATTCAGTGTATTGAAAAGCGAGTAAAAATATATGTATTTCCTGTTTACATTTGAAGGAGACCACATTAGTTTATCCTCTACCCCTTTTCTAAGTGATAAAACTCATGCGATCTAGCACAGACCAAGGACTAATACAATCAAGAAGCATATTGTGTACACCTCAACAGATTTTCAATTTTAAAAAATTATTGTTTGATACAAACCTACTGTAGTTCATGAATTTACATGTGTAATCAACTCCTCACTTTTAATAGAAAGTATCACTTAAATCTATTTTGTAAAGTTTTTAAACATCTACTTGAGCATTTGCATTCTCATCAACCTGAGGAAAAAAAAAAAAAAGTGGAGGAGGGGTGCAAACATATTTGCCTTTGGCACAAGGACAAGTAATTCGTGCAGTCCAGCTCTAAAAGTACAACTCGAAGTAATGATGTATTGCTTGGTCTGCCTCTGCTACATTGTGATTCACATATTGCTTCCCTATCCACAAATTTGTATTTGATTTAGCATTTAACAGAAGGAAAAAAAGCAATAAAAAGACAAATATGGGGTTTAGTTACATATACTTTGCTTCTTTCCAAGTTCAGAACTGTGAAAATAGGCAAATAGCTTATCCCATAGGGGCATTATAATTAAGAGATTCCTAATAAAATTACTCATAAAATATACTTTAATCGGGTTCAAAGACAGTTAATTTAAAATATAAAAATTAAACAGCGTGTCAGTTGATGAGTTTCTACTTTCTGTAAACGGTATTAACTGTTCTAGAAACTTCCAAATGTTAATCTGATAGCGCAGCACAATTAATTATAACTTAAAATAGTTATGGACACAGGAAGCACAGATACTATATTCACATTAATTCACATGTAATCTCTATCATTAAATAATTTCTATAAAATCTCAAGTTTCTAATTAGGATTTGTGGTGTAACAAAAGGCAAATTGGTAGCTGGGTTCTTTTCAGTA